TATATTCGTCAACTGATATGTATGAAACTATTACCAGTTCACCTTAGTCGGTAAACAAGAGCGAAGACAAATGATCCAGTGACGCGATAGGCCATACTAAGTAGAAGGAGAAGTCTTGATATGGCGTAGAAAGTGTATCCTACTGTGGTGTGTGCTACTTATACGAACGATATAAGTAGTATAAGAAGGGACGTGAAAGAAGAAGTCTCACAGTCAGAAGAGGAAAACGAAAAGCAAATGGAGCAAAAGCAAGAAGTAAATGGAGTACCAACAGGAATAGAAGAAGGATGGAGTGTTGGAATTCGCGACTCAAAGATGGTGTGCAAATAGAGTATTCAATGTAATGTTTCCGTTTTTAATTGACTGAGAGTGTAAATTTGCTTAATACAATCTTCTTCGCCTGCCTCGGTCATCTCACTACAAGTACCCAAAAAATGAGGTTTTCCAAGCACACAAATCGAGTTTATTTATACATCATAGAAACGCTTTTGAGAGAGCTACAAAAATAATACATCCACCATTCACAGCAAAGGATTTTCCTAGTGGGAAATGAAATCTCAAGGTCAACTGATCATCAGCCCATGCACAAAAGCATAAAATCTAAAATCTACGGATCTAACGTCCCCCTCAACAAGAAAACACTAATCAGAACAAATAATTCATATTATTTCATTGAATTATTTCTTTTGGTTGTTTCATTGTTTTTTTCTTATTCATCAAAATAATTATTGCAGAAATTATGCAATAACTCATTGAGATTTGATCTGATCTATTGAGATGAGATTAATTTCTACTTACAATGCTTTTTTAAGTAGTAAGTAACACAATTGACAGTTTAGTTTTCCTGGTCATATTCATATATATATATATAAATAGATTAGATTAGATTAGATTAAATAAGAATCAAATACATAGGATATAACTGCGTCATTCAGATTTTATTGTTTAGATAGATTAATTGAATGAAATTATGATTCTATGATCCTTCATAAATATCTCCGTATGATATTAAGCAATGAAGTATCATTTATCTGAGAGGGTTTGTTTTTTTAAAAAAAAGTGCGAACATAGAAACTTTTTTTTTCATTTGGACGTTTGATATTTTTCGTAGCATGTCTTATCTTTTTATATTAAGTGATAGTTTTCGTGCAACGATGATTAGTTTATTGAATCAAAAATAAATAATTAGTTAACAGTAATAATAATTGGTTCAATAAAAAATTACAGGTGTTAATAGCATAAAGTAAAATTACTGGAGTTTGGTTTATCAAATTTATTTCAGCAATTTCGCAAAATGATTAGAGTTTAACATTGATGTATTCATGATTTCAGTGAATCTCAACCACCTTCACAATCTAATGTTCACTAGTGACTATATTCATGAGGAAATTTTCAGAGTCCTGGTGATGAGATATGACCAGTGGAGTTCAACTCGATCGGATGTAGGCTGTAACTACGGAAGACAATGGTTAGTATCTGGTTCAGTTCTCTAAAGGTTAAGCATTCATGCGCGAGAACGAAAGTGCTGGGTTGGATAACCGCGAGTAGCGGGAGTCGTGAATTCATACTGTTTATGTGTCCCCCACTAGGCCGAAACGGCTGTTCAGAGCTTTCAGGTTTCTAGTGATGGTCTAACACTAATCGACTTATTGTTTCAATGAAACATTAAATATTCTCAATTAGAAGTGAAATGATCATTTAACGCGTCGAATATTGGAGCTGATATAATTCAACTGATAACAGAGCTATAATATTTATCTATAATTCGATAGTTATTGAAGTTCATAAGTATTTAAACATATATTAACCAAAAATTGATGAAAATTCTACAAACTGAAGGTAGAAAAGCTCACTATACGATACTGGCTGATGTAAGGTT